TTTTAATCCAATTTGTTTCACGTTGAGCCAGTTTGGTGTAGTGGTTAAGGCACCAGATTTGAAACTGGAAAGTAGTGAGTTCGAGTCCTGCCTTAGGCTCGAAAGCTGGCTCGGTAACTTTGGACCAATAAAAAGGAGAAAATGAGTTCTAGTTCCAACATGAAAGCTGTCTGGGTGACTTTGGGCCAATCACCAGGAGACGGTGAGTTCTAGTCCCGCCTTGGGCATTAAAGCCGGCTGAGTGACTTTGGGCCAATCACCAGGAGACGGTGAGTTCTAGTCCCGCCTTGGGCATGAAAGCCTGCTGGGTGACTTTGGGCCAATCACCAGGAGACGGTGAGTTCTAGTCCCGCCTTGGGCATGAAAGCCTGCTGGGTGACTTTGGGCCAATCACCAGGAGACGGTGAGTTCTAGTCCCGCCTTAGGCATGAAAGCCTGCTGGGTGACTTTGAGCCAATCAGTCTCTCTCAGCTGAACCCACCTCACAGGACTGTTGCTGTGGGGAAAAAGAGGAGGAGGAGGAGGAGAGAGCATTCTTCATGTTTGGCGGTGAGTTACTTATAAAGTAATAAAGGTGAGATAAAAATTTAATAAATAAAAATAATAAAATAAATAACACCTATATGTCCATGGAGCTGCTTTGGCCACAATATGGAATTACCATAGTCTTCCTCCAAAACTGTTTTTTGACTTCTCAAAGATTCTGTACTTCTGATATTCCCTGTTAGGTCTCTTCTAGATCTCTCCTCCAATTACTAACCAGGTGTGGCCCTGCTTAGCTTCCCAAGCTTGACCACGTGCTGCCACCTAGCAGAGCTAATGCAATTAGCACCCACCAATTAAAGTGTTTTTTTATTATCTTTCAACTGCAAATTTTAGGGTACATTTTGAAGGATTCTTGGGGGTAGATGAATGGTCAAGAAGGGGTCTTGCAACCCTGGAATAGACTTTGTCATTCAGCCTTTCACAGCTAATATAGATACAAATATATAAATTTAATAAATAATTGCAAATAAAAACTCATTGGAGAAATTAAAGAGAAAAAGGAAGAACAAGGGAAAAAAGAGACAAGCACAATATTAGGGTGTCATTTCATGTCTATTTTAATTCCAGGTCCTGGATGCTATAAAAAAACACGGGAATCACTCAAGTTTATCTTTGCATAAATGAGGCAAACAACGGACCACAACATCAACATTCACACAAAATACATAATCCACATAGGGAGGTAATTCAGCACCTGCATTCATCCCACGGGTAAAAAGGGCTTTCTTTTTAATCCAATTTGTTTCACGTTGAGCCAGTTTGGTGTAGTGGTTAAGGCACCAGATTTGAAACTGGAAAGTAGTGAGTTCGAGTCCTGCCTTAGGCTCGAAAGCTGGCTCGGTAACTTTGGACCAATAAAAAGGAGAAAATGAGTTCTAGTTCCAACATGAAAGCTGTCTGGGTGACTTTGGGCCAATCACCAGGAGACGGTGAGTTCTAGTCCCGCCTTGGGCATTAAAGCCGGCTGAGTGACTTTGGGCCAATCACCAGGAGACGGTGAGTTCTAGTCCCGCCTTGGGCATGAAAGCCTGCTGGGTGACTTTGGGCCAATCACCAGGAGACGGTGAGTTCTAGTCCCGCCTTGGGCATGAAAGCCTGCTGGGTGACTTTGGGCCAATCACCAGGAGACGGTGAGTTCTAGTCCCGCCTTGGGCATGAAAGCCTGCTGGGTGACTTTGGGCCAATCACCAGGAGACGGTGAGTTCTAGTCCCGCCTTGGGCATGCAAGCCGTCTGGGTGACTTTGGGCCAATCACCAGGAGACGGTGAGTTCTAGTCCCGCCTTGGGCATGAAAGCCGTCTGGGTGACTTTGGGCCAATCACTAGGAGACGGTGAGTTCTAGTCCCGCCTTGGGCATGAAAGCCGTCTGGGTGCCTTTGGGCCAATCACCAGGAGACGGTGAGTTCTAGTCCCGCCTTAGGCATGAAAGCCAATTGGGTGACTTTGGGCCAATCACCAGGAGACAGTGAGTTCTAGTCCCGCTTTAGGCATGAAAGCCAATTGGGTGACTTTGGGCCAATCACTAGGAGATGGTGAGTTCTAGTCCCGCCTTGGGCATGAAAGCCAATTGGGTGACTTTGGGCCAATCACCAGGAGACAGTGAGTTCTAGTCCCGCCTTGGGCATGAAATCCTGCTGGGTGACTTTGGGCCAATCACCAGGAGACGGTGAGTTCTAGTCCCGCCTTGGGCATGAAAGCCTGCTGGGTGACTTTGGGCCAATCACCAGGAGACGGTGAGTTCTAGTCCCGCCTTGGGCATGCAAGCCGTCTGGGTGACTTTGGGCCAATCACCAGGAGACGGTGAGTTCTAGTCCCGCCTTGGGCATGAAATCCTGCTGGGTGACTTTGGGCCAATCACCAGGAGACGGTGAGTTCTAGTCCCGCCTTGGGCATGAAAGCCTGCTGGGTGACTTTGAGCTAATCACCAGGAGACGGTGAGTTCTAGTCCCGCCTTAGGTAAAAAAAGCCGTCTGGGTGACTTTGGGCCAGTTCCCCATTTTCATCTCAGCCAAGCCCACCTCACAGGGTTGTTGTTGTGAGGAAAATAGGAAGGAGTATTGGATATTGTTGGCCAGGTTGTCTTTGGAACGAAGGTATTTATTATACAAACCCAGGAAAAGGATAATATCAGGAATTAAGTTAAGCTTGTTCTGCAAAGTTGATCCTTTGCAGAAAAAAAGAGGGGGGGCGGAGAAACAGCCCACCTGCTCCCCACCCAAACAAATCCATCTGTCTTGTGTTCGAGTCATGCCACTCTTTCTGTCATCCACTTCTGAACCCTGGGATGATAATGGTCACCATTTCTGGATGGCAGAAATCTCACAGGCGTAGCTTCCTCCTTTGCAGTTACCGTAGTAACCACGGTCACGCCTGGCATGGCCCACCACGTTCCCCTCCCGTGCAAAAACCATCATCCTGAACCCTTTTGGTGTGAGAGACCCGGGTAGATTTCCCCATCCCTTTTTCCAATTCCTGTCCTTCCTGGCTTGTGGTCCCCTTTTGGAGTGGATTATCCACAGCTGTCAAATCAAATCTGAATTGTTTGATTTTTCCCTTTACAGATTGCAGCCTTGGGACCTTGTAGGTCATCTAGTCCAACCCCTCCTCTTCCCCCCCCCCAAACTTGTTTGAGCCTTCTTTGGTTTTACCAGGATATTTTAGGGAGAAAAAAAAAAATCCAAAGGCCTTAAATCTAAAACGGGCTTCCATCATTTCCTTCTAAAAGGCCCCAAAATTTAATTATTTTAATTGCATTTATAGGCCGCCGGTCTCGCAAGGGAGAAGCTGGATCTCTGCCAACCAGCTGCCCTTGCCGCACCACCAACACCCGCCGCGGGGAAGCAAAGTTTCTAGTCCTCATGACCCTCGGCTCTTAAGAGTCTAGTCTATGCAGAAAAATCAGGATTTCCCCGACCGGCTGGGACAGAGAAGCGATCGCCCCCCTCCTCCTTGCTGGGGGGGGGGGGGATCAACTTGGCACCAGCCAGGTGGGGGCAAGCAAACCAACCCTTCCCGCTTTGGAAGCCAACCCGGCTCGTGAGAACTGGGAGAACGACCCGGGTCTTCCTTCCTTCCTTCCTTCCTTCCTTCCTTCCTTCCTTCCTTCCTTCCTTCCTTCCTTCCTTTCCTTCTTTCCTTCCTTCCTTCCTTCCTTCCTTTCTTCCTTCCTTCCTTCCGTCCGTCCCGTCTGGCGATCGCCCCGCAATGCCGGGGGATCCAGTGGATCTCTTCCCCAGGGTCAGAAGGGAGGGAGGGATCCACCGACGGCCCCCGAGTCCTGAACGCTGAGAAAGACGTGAGAAGGCGGCCCCGCCCGAGTTGCGAGGACGGGGCGGGCGGGGAGCGGACCCACCTTCGGGGGACCGGCCGGCCGCTTGGCCGACCCCGCCGACTGGGCTTCCCGGCGGACGGGCGCCCGAGGGGAGTGATTGATGACCGTCCGGGCCGAGCAGCGCAACTCAACGCAGCGCAGCGGAGCTCCGAGCCCCGCCAAAGCCGGGCGGAGCGAGAGGCGGCGGCGGCCCCGCGGCGGCTGGCCAAGTCCCGGCCCCCTTTCGCAAGTCCCCTCCCTTCGGGTCAAACTTTTCCTCGCAGCCCAAGCAGCCGCTGCCGTCGCTGCAGCCGGGAGGGCGCCATCTTTTCGCCCCGCCCGCCCAGCCGCCCCGCCGAAGCCCCCCAGCGAGGGTCCCCCCCCTCGGTTAAGCGGCCTCTCCATCGGCAACCCAGGAGCCCGCGGGCGCCAGTAGCACCTCCACCCCACAAGACGGGGGAGGGGAGTGGAAGGGTTTTGATTCCCAGCCGTTCTCAGTTTGGAGACATCGGGGGACGGGGGGCCCCTTTTGGCTTCTCTCCGGGCTGCGGGAGTGGAGCCGACGGGGCAAAGCAAGGCAATCCAAACGGGTCCCCCCCCCAGTGTTATCCAAAAGCCTGGAAGTCCGGGCTGCTTGCAAAGACGGGGGGGGTGTCCGGAAAGTGCAGCAACCCCCTTCTTCCTCCCCCAAACCCCCAACTCCTTTCCCTCCACCCCGTCCACCTTTCTAAGGGGGGCTGGAAGGAAAGGCTGCCCATAAGAGAGAGGGGGGGGGGTCTCCTGCAATAGGCACGGCCCCGCCCGGCTCTGCAAAGCGGGAGAGGAGCCTTTTCTTCCCCCCCCACTTCCACTCCTCCCCTGTGCGTCCCCCCCCTTCCCCGATCTCCGACGCCCCCTCCCACGTGCTTCTTTCCCCCCCCTCCATTAACCCGACCGACCCCTCGAGGGGTGTGTGTGTGTGTGTGTGTGTGTGTGTGTGTGTAAAGGAGGGGGGGGCTTCCCCGTTGCAAGTCGCAACTCCGCCGCCTTGTCAAAGCTTCGTAGCAGGCCCGGCCCGGGGGACACACCCACCCACTCACCCACCACCCCTCTCCAAGGCCGGGCGGACGGAGGGACGGAGAGACGGGACGGGCGTCTTTCCTACCTTTTGCAAAAACTGGACTTTGCTTCGGGCGCAGCAGCAGCCGCCACCACCACGGCCGGCGGCAGCGGCGGCGGGTCTCCGGCCGGCGCCGTCCTCGCAGCTCCTGCGCCGGGCTCTCCTCCTCCGGAGCGACGCCGGATCTTCTTCCACCAGCACCGTGTAAACGGCGTTGCCCGGCGGCGGGGCTGTCGGAAGGCCGGACGAAACGGAGGCGATCGGTTTGCAGGCGGCGGCGGCGGCGGCGGTCGGGGGGCTGCTGTCAGGGCAGCAGGGGCCCGCTGACGTCAAGCCCGGCGGCGGGGAGCAAATCCGACCGCCCGGGGAAGCGGCGCGTTTGAAAAGCCGCGGCTTGTGGGTTTCCATGCTTTTTGCAAGGGGGGGACCCGGCCGGCTCGTTGAGCGGCGGGGCGCCGGGCCACCCACCCCCCCTACCCACCCACCCCCGTCGGGCCCGGAGAGGGGCAAGATCGGTGCAGGGTGAAGCCCCGCACGCCGCCGCCGCCGCCGCCGAGACTTTCCCTCCAGCGAGCGGCGCTCCCCCGCCGGGCCACGCCCCCCCCTCTCTCTCTCTCTCCTCGCCTGTTCCGCCCCCTCGGAGCTGGAGCGAGCGAGCGAGCGGCGGCTGTCGGGTTGCTACAAAAAAAAAAAAAAGAATTAAAAAAAAAAAAAGTGAAAATCGTCCCCGCTCCTCCGCCATTGGCTGGCGCGCTGTGTCAACATTCCAAAATGGAACGTTGCCCGGAGCCGGCTCGAGCGCTCATTGGTCGGGACGACGTTGCCAATTGTAAGCGAGGGAAGAGAGAGAGAGAGAGAGAGAGAGAGAGGAGGAGGAGGAGTCGCTGCCGCCGCCGCCGCCGCGGTTTTTTTCCAGCCGCTTTGCAGCCGCCGCCGCCGCTTATTCTTAATCGGTGCTTTTTTTTTTTTAATTATTTTTTTTTAATTTTTTTTTTTACTTAAACGGATCGCTTGCTTTGCCGAGGCAGCTTCTGAAGCCGGAGTGGAAGGCCGGCTTCGGGCTTCCCCTCTCCGCCCGGTCTGTGCGCCGCTACTTCCCGCGGCCATAGGCGGGAGGCGGTGGAGGGGTGGCGGGGGGGAGGCGGCCGCCGGGCGGAGACTTGCAAACCACGGGGTAGGGGAGGCGAGCGCACTAAAGAAGCGGAAGGCGCGGCTGGCTCGTTGCAAAGGACGCCCCAAAGGCGCTGGGGTCTGTTGGAAACCCCAACGCCGGTGACTCCAATGCGAATTTTGCATTTATTTATTCCCCCCCCCCCGTGCACTTTTTTTTTTTTATTATTATTTGATTTATATGCCGCCCTTCTCCGGAGACTCAGGGCGGGCTTACAATGCGTTAAGCAATAGCCTTCGTACTTTTGTATATACCTGCTTAGTAGGGCTTTTGCCCCTCCCCCAAGCGGTTTTTTTATACAAAGTCAGTTTATTGCCCCCCACAATCCGGGTCCTCATTTTACCTACCTGGGAAGGATGGAAGGCTGAGTCAACCTTGAGCCTGGTGAGATTCGAACTTGCGGTAATTGCAGGCAGCTGAATGTTAATAAACAGGCTATTATTATTTATTTTTATTTTTTTTAATTTGATTTATATGCCGCCCTTCTCCGGAGACTCAGGACGGGCTTACAATGCGTTAAGCAACAGCCTTCATACTTTTGTATATTTATACAAAGTCAGCTTATTGCCCCCACAAACTGGGTCCTCAATTTACCTACCTTAGAAAGGATGGAAGGCTGAGTCAACCTTGAGCCTGGCGAGATTCGAACTTGCAGTAATTGCAGGCAGCTGAATGTTAATAACAGGCTATTAGTCTGCTGCGCCACCAGGCTCTCTCCTCTCCTTTGCAGAGGAGCGCAATAAATCCGACTCGCTTCCATCCGGGTTTAGGTTATCATTTTTTTTTTTCCCCCTCCAGGCCCCGCAGGTAGAAAGCGAGCTCATCAAGCGGCTTGATGAGCTCCCTTTCTACATGCAGGGCGTGGAAAAAGTCCCCACCCTCATCGTTTTCCCTACCTAAAAGAGAACCTGGCCTCTCCCACGCTTTTAAAAAAAATTTAAAAAAAGTCTGAAGAAATCCATAAGTGACGGGTGAAACTCTTTAAACTCTCAGACTTAACCCAGACAAGACCGAGTGGCTGTGGGTATTGCCTCCTAAAGACTATGTCGATTGTCCATCCTTGGTTCTGGGGGTGTGTGTGAGAAATTGTCCCCCTCAGAACGGGCTCGCAATTTGGGTGTCCTCCTAGACTCACAGCTAAGATTGGAGCAACATCTGTCAGCTGCGGCTAGAGGGACCTTTGCACAGGTTCGCCTGGTGCACCAATTGCGACCCTACTTGGATCGGGAGGCTCTCCTCATCGTCACTCATGCCCTGGTCACCTCACGGTTAGATTATTGCAACGCGCTCTACATGGGGCTACCCTTGAAGAGTGTTCGGAGACTACAGTTGGTCCAGAACGCAGCCGCGCGAGCTGTCGTGGGTGCACCTAGATACACCCACATTACACCAATTCTCCGCGAGCTGCACTGGCTCCCTATTGGTCTCCGGTCACAATTCAAGGTGTTGGTTATTACCTTTAAAGCCCTACATGGCTCAGGGCCAGGGTATCTTTGAGACCGCCTTCTACCTCATAGCTCCCAGCAACCGGTAAGATCCCACAGAGTTGGTCTCCTCTGTGTCCCGTCAGCTAAACAATGCCGGCTGGCGGGCCCGCGTGGGAGGGCCTTCTCTGTGGCTGCCCCATCTCTCTGGAACCAGTTACCTCCTGAGGTCCAGACCATCCCCACCCTATTGGCCTTGCGGAAAGCGGTGAAGACCTGACTCTTCCGGCAGGCCTGGGGCCATTGATCTCGCTCTTGTGATCCGGCAAGATCCGGCCATGAATGGTGTGAATGGGTTTTAATTTGTTTTTAATGGTTTAACTTTGAATGTTTTTATATATGGTTTTTAAATGCATTGTAAGCCGCCTTGAGTCTTCGGAGAAAGGCGGCATACAAGTTGAACAAATAAATAATAAATAAATAAAACAGGATTCCATTGTCCTGACAACTCCAGATGAAGGTGTTTGCTTTGATCTGTATTTTTCCAAACTTGACAACTTGAAGATGGGTGGACTTCAACTCCCAGAAGGCTCTGCTCTGTTTGCCAGATGGTGGAGCGACTTTCTGTCTTTCTCAAAACTTTTGTGCAAAGTTCTCCCGGTTAGCATCGGTGGGCCAACCATCTGCACTGAGTTAAAACCGGTTAAGCGGAGAAATGGCCTTCTCTAGCCATCTTCTTCGAAACCTGCGGAGATGGGGAACCACGACCTCTTCCAGGTTCCATTCTTGGATAAATCTGACTTAAAAATCCTTAAATGAAAAGAGACAGAATGCCGGATAACAGAATCGGAAGGGATCTGGGAGATGATCTAGTCCAGCTCCCTGCTCAAGCAGGAGATCCTATACCCGTGATGGTAAACCTATGGCACGCGTGCCACAGGTGGCACGCGGAGCCATATCTGTGGGCATGCGAGCATTGCCCTAGCTCAGCTCCAGCGCACATGCGCGTGCCAGCCAGCTAATTTTCTGGTCTTCTGGGCCCATCGGGAAACGGGCTGTTTCCAGCCTCTGGGGGGCTAGGGAAGGCCGTTTTTGCCCTCCCCAGGCTCCAAGAAAGCTTCTGGCGCCTGGGGAGGGCAAAAAACAGGCCTACTGGGCCCACTGTGCTATCATGTGCCAAAAGTGGGGGGAATGGGGAGGGAGTGCGCACAGGTGCAGGGGGTGGGGCGCATTGAATTATGGGTGTGGGCACACGTATGCACGACCCCCCCCCACTCCCCCTGCTTTTGGCACGCGATGGCAAAAAGGTTAGCCATCACTGTCCTATACCATTTCTGATAAATGGCTGTGTGATCTCTTCTTAAAAACCTCCAGTGTTGGAGCACTCACAACTTCAGGTAGCAAGTTGTTCCACTGGTTAATTCTTACTTACTCCTTGGTTCTAGATTGGGTCTCTAATGACCTTCCAGCCATTACTTAGAGCTTGGATTTAGTGGGCGTGTCAGAAACAGCATGGAATAGAGATAATGCATTCATCATGTGACATAAGACTTCTTGGTGGTCTCTAGAATATAGAATGAGCTGGAAGGGACCTTGGAGGTCTTCCAGTCCAGCCCCCTACTCAAGCAAGAGACCTTATACCGTTTCAGATAAGTGACTTTTCTTAAAGTGATGGGGCACCGACAACTTCTGGTGGCAAGCTGTTCCACTGGTCAATTGTCCTCACTGTCAGAAAGTTTCTCCTTAATTCCAGGTTGTTTCTCTCCGTGATTAGTTTCCATCCATTGTTTCTTGTCTTCAGCATCCAGGATTTCCTGCGAGGAGTGGGATCTACTCTTTAGAATGCTCACAGCTACAGGATCCTTACTGGATGAAGTCATCTCTTTAATTTGGGGAGGTATTATCAATATGTTGAGATCAGTGGTGGGTTTCAAAATTTTTTACTACCGGTTCTGTGGGTGTGGCTTGGTGGGCGTGGCATGGCTTGGTGGGCGTGGCAGGGGAAGAATACTGTAAAATCTCCATTCCGTCCCCACTCCAGGGGAAGGATACTGTAAAATCCCCATTTCTTCCCGATCAGCTGGGACTTGGGAGGCAGAGAATAGAAGGGGGCGGGGCCTGTCAGAATTTTTACTACCGGTTCTCCGAACTACTCAAAATTTCCGCTATCGGTTCTCCAGAACAGATCAGAACCTGCTGAAACCCATTTCTGGTTGAGATGCTACCGATAGTCCTCAACATCCGACCATTGAAACCGGAACTTCCATTGCCAAGTGGGGCGGTTGTTAAGGGAGGCGCATCCAAATTAATGACTATTTGCTGAGGTCGTTAAGCGAATCACCACGGTTGTTAAGTGAATCCCACGGTTATTAAGCCAACCTGACTTCCCCCGTTGACGTGGCTTATTAGAAGCCATCTTGGAAATTCGCACAAGGTGATCATATCACCCGGGACCCTTCAGTGGCCATCAATACGTGCCATTGGCCAAACACCTGAATTTTTATCCGGTGGCCAATGGGACATTCTAACCATTGTAAATGCGAGGAGCGCTTGTAAATCACATTTTTCAGCACTGTTATAACTTGGAACAGTCACTAAGCGAATGGTTGTAAGTTGAGGACTACCTCTACACAACTGTGTAGGTCAGGGGTGTCAAACTCGCGTCGTCAGCGTTATTTGGTGTATCAGGACTTCACCCCTCCCCCCTTCGCTAAACCGGGCGGGGCCAGCACGTGTCGCATCCGGGCCGCGGGTTTGACACCCCGCGTGTAGATTAACCAGGAGTGTGATGGCTTTTTGCCCCAGCTACGGATGCCAAAGAACATAGCACACACAAACTCCGAACAAAACTCAGTT